AACAAATGTGTTTGAATGTGTGTGTTTTCCCCAGAGCACTGAGAAGAATGTCGTGTGAGAATTATCTTTTCCATTCACAGTCATGCTGCTATTTGGTCACATTTCAATCCAATGAAAGAAAGAAAAGAAGGTAGGGGGAATTGAAAGCACAGCACAACTGCTTAAATTATTTCAAACTTCAATGGTGCTGCAACCCTTAACAGAAGGCAGAGCTCAGTTGTATCTGTGGAATGGTTCCACATTTCTTAAAAAAAAAAAAAAAGCTAATAACAATTTTCAAAGGCTTGGACATTAACTAACACAAAAGATATATGACTTATAATTGTTTTTCTTTCTATCTTTTTCTGGTGAACTTGTGCTTTCTCCAAATCAGAGAGGCAAATTTCCAGCAAGTAGGCTTCCTTGCCTCCTTCCTTACCTTCATGTTTCACTTTCCTAAATTGTACCTTAAATATTTAAATTAAGGCCATTTTGCTTTGACTCATTGATTGTAGTGACCTTGTTCTTTGTGTTCAGAGGGTGATAAGGAGTGGTCAGGTTTCAAGTCACATTGACTTTGTTATTTCAAGTGCTGAAGTATAGGAAAAGTCTGCTTTATTAAATCCCGAGTTATTTTTCTGTCTGAAACAACCTTGTCAGTAGTTTGTGTTTCTTGCTAAACAAAAGGCTGTATTTGGCTGCTGAAAAATCTACCAGACCAGTAAGGCACAGGAAGATGCTGATATTTTATCAACTAAGAAAGCACACAAAATATATGAAGAGGGAGGTGGAGCAGGACATTTTTAGATGTGACTTGGTGAGGGTGCACTTGATCCCACTGTCCATGTCACCAACAAAGACGTTAAATGTGCTGGTCCAATATCGACCCCCGAGAAACACCACTTTGCTCTCCATGTGGACATAGAACTGTTGATCCCAACCTTTTGAGTGTAACCATCCAGCCAATTACTTATCCAGCAAGTTGTCCATCAATCAAGTCCGTGTGTCTCAAGTTTAGAGGCAAGGATGTTGTGCGAGACATTGTCAAATGCTTTGCACAAATCCAGGTAGATGATGTCAGTTCCCTCATCTACAAACGCCATAAGCCTTCTGATTAAACCAAATTAGAAAAAATTGCAAGTTATATGTAAAGTGGCTTGCTATATTAGAGCTGAATGGAATATTTTCTGTTATTTTAGACTACTTAATGTATTCCTATTCCTTACTATGTTGGGTTTATGGTATTTTTACTTCAATTCTCTTAACGTTCGAATTTTTACTTCTGTTTTCTATGTTTATGTTAGTAAGCAGAATTTGTCCTTTGTTCTTTTGAAGTTAAGAACTGTGTCTAGTTTTGGCACCAGCTAGCTAGCTAAGCACTGGGAAGCAGACTTTAATCTTCTAGTCAGTGTTTTTTCATAATGTAGCAAAATAGATTCTTGTGTCAGGCTAACACATTTTTCCAAATGAACAATCAACTACTACAGTAATTTGTAGTAATATCCACCAAAATCATGATGAAAAATTAAGTTAGTAGAGTGGTGCAGTCCATAAGGTTCATAAATTGCTGGCATTTGGTGCCTTTTTACTGCTCTGTCTTCTGAATCTATTATGGCATCATCACTGCAGTACTGGGCAGTGGGAGAGCTCTGTGTATGCTGGAGGTCCCCTGTGTGTCAGTAATGAAGCTCCAGTTCTGAGAAATACTAGGATCTGTCCTTATCCAGAAATACTTTTTACAGTGCCTACTGAAGGCAGTGAGAAAGATGAAGCCAGAGGAGAGTTGAATACCTGAATAAATTGTAGTTGCTCAGACTGCTCTGCAATCATTCTTATAGATGGTCCAGCAAAAAAAAGTATTGGATAACTAGAATTGGATTCTCCTGTCCATTTATTAGAACCTGTGAAGTCAGCCACCGAAATGTTTTCTGGGTCATTCTGTTTTCTAACTTGTGTACATAATATTTAAACCCTGGAAATGCAAAAGCACTTTATGCACACAGAAATCACTGAGTTCTCCACTGGAATAAAGTTGTTTCTGAGTGAAATTGGAAGCTGGTGCTTAAGGACAGTCTTTATACATCACTGGTCTGAGGAAGTAATGAACATGTCTCTGGCAGAGCCTGTAGAAAAATGTGGGTCTAGCATTTTCCTGTTTTCTGAAAGAACTCCCTTCTGTCATGAAACTGAGTATATAAATTTAGACCTGTCTGAGATGAAGTGAATCACACATAAAACCCTCAGGTCTTCCTTTGGAAGCTTTGTGACAGTGTTTTTTTTGTGAAATAATATCACTGCAGCCCCAGGAGATGGTAACAGCCATGTATTACCACTTCTGGAATGATTTGGAAGGCTTTTTTCACCAAGATACCCCAAGTATGGAAAAAGTCCTGCACATAGTAAACTCTCCTATTGGTTATCTGTGTTATACAGAGAAGATTTCTCTCAGTGTCACACATACACCTGCACTACCTCGAATTCCCAAACAATATGCCATCCAGCAGTATTTAAACTCCAGCTGTTCAAAGGCAGAAACAATAAATACTGATCTTTCATTACAGCATGCTATAAGCCTTTCTCATCCTGGAATGCTGTTAAGTCTCTGTCTGTACCACAGATTGGAAATGTGTTGTGACAAAGTTCCTGACTAAGGCTGCATTCAGAATTTTGGTAGTAAATGGTGTACAGAAACCTGAAGAAATTAAATGAAAGAAGAAAAATTAAAATTCTCCTGAAATATGTTTAAACACGGCAGCATTTAAAGAAAGGAACAGGTCCTTTTTTCCATAGAATAAAATTATGGCATAACATCCTCTCTAAAGTTAAGTCATAATGAACTCTTTTGTGCACCTACTGGAAAGTATTAAATTTCTGTATTCTCATGAATGTGGAAAACAGGGATCTGGAAACTTTGACAATGGTAGCTACCATCTCCATGTGTATATTTCTGCTTTGTATGGACTTGTTCAATGCCTACTAAGGTAAATGGAAAGACTCCTGTTGATTCCAGTGCTGTTGGACTCATTCTTCTGTATATCATTCAAGGGCTTATTTCATCGTCACTCTGCTTCATCACCTGATATTCTTACTCTTTTTTGTGTGTAGATAAGGAGATTCCTACAGTCAATGTTTCACTCCAACCAGTGTGATTAGGTGATTCTTGATTTTGTCTTATCACATGTACTTGGAATTGACATCTTCAGTGCAGTAGAGAGCAAGAAAGAAAACTAAAAAAGTCATGTATTTCTTTCAGTGAAAGAGGGAGATATATTTTTTAAAGTGAAGAAAAAAAGAGCTTTTGTCATCCATATGCAGTCAGCTTGCTGACTGTGAGCAGGAATGATGTGAGGAATGTATTTTAAGCATCTTCCCTCTGTTTAATTTGCTGTTCTAACCATTGTTTTCTTTATTAGCTCGGTTTCAGCTTGATAATTTGTTTTCTTTGTTTTCTTTGCTATTACTTGGCCATTAGAAAACCCTTTCCTTCCAAAAGTTCTTTGCCCAAATTGTTTCCCATAACAACAATAATAATGGGGAAAAAATACTCCTTTTAATAGCAATTCAGTTCATCCTTTGGTACTTGTATGCAGTCACCCCTTCAGTGGGATTTGCACTCACATAACTGAAGCTAAAAATCTGGCCTTGTGCATCACAGCCTACCCCCATGACACTACACGTAACTACAACAAGGAACTGTAATAAAGCAGAGTAAGACTTCATTTATGTTTCAAAACTGAGGAAATAGTATGGTTAATCATCTCATGGTGTTTGCATACCTATCCTTCCTTCACATTCTCTTGTACTGTGGCTGACGGCTAATCTTTCATTACATCACGTGCTTGAGACTTGGTCTGGCTAATAGGCTAATTGGAAAAAACATGTCAGTTATGACTTCTTGGCCTTTCATTATATCACAGATTTTGCTGTGGGAAAAAAATTGTTCGAACAGTACTGTTCATTCAACCAGCTCCTGTGGGAAGGGGCTTGGTGCACTCACCCATCCCTGGTGCTGGTCACCCAAGAGTTATTGCACTCAGAAGGTCAGCAGAGCATTGCTGGCTCCTATGATGTGGTCAAAGGAGAGCTTATGTGGCCACTGGGACAGATAAGTTATGTTGAGGGTGATCAACTATGAGAGTGCTTTTATTCAATTCCTAACCCCTTGGCCTGGGCAATATACATGCCCAAGAGTGCTGAGGGTATCCAGAGAGAAAGACAAGTCACCACTAGTTGCCCACAACTTTATATGACATTACTGGTGATCAGAAAAATTCAGTAGTAGCTAGTGACAATGTCAAAGAAACCCTTCAGTCTGATTATGCTAGCTATTACTGCCCTGATAAAAAATAATTGGAAACCAATCAACAAAAAACCACATTATTAAAAGCTAGAGAGATAACCTTTCAAATAAAGAGAGTCAAAACCACACATTAGGTAATACAATAATAATATTAAATTTTACTTCTCCAATTATTTCATACCTATGTAGTTTTTTACTATTAAGAGTGAGCCTAAATTTTCATGGGGAAATCATAGAAGACCTGTTGTTTTTCACAGCCACTACCAACTTGAAAACTTGTTTGTATTTTGATTTATTAGGAAGCAGGCTTAAATGAACTTACTGGTTGGAATCTAAATAAGTCATCCTGAATTTCTGCTTTGCACCTGAAGAAGCAGCTTTAGATGGCTACTGCCCTCTGTAGATACTGTATACTATCAGTATAACCTTCTCAAGAAAATACTAAGTAGGAAAGAGAATTGTTGATAAATGGAGAAAATTGCAGTACTAATGTACTTTGCTGTAACCATTCCCTGCTGAAACTTGAGGCAATAGTCCCAGTGAGGCTTATGGAATAGCTCAAAAAACCATTCCTCTATGCAATGTTTTACTTTTTGTGCTGGGATTTGTTCCTAGAAATAATGTATAGATAAAGTGATTTGTTTGGGGTTTTTTCTTCAAAATATCATTAAATTTATTGCTTAGAAATTGTTATAATTTTCTATTTGTTTATTTATTACAGAAGAAAAGAGACTGAACTGAGGAAGAGTGGAAAAATAATGATAATATTTCTTTCTTGAATAAGAAAAAGGTAAGATTTAGAGAACCATAATACTGCAAGTACTTATTTATTGCATAATAATAACAATGAGGTAATTTTTTAAGATCCCAAATGCTGGCAGCTTTTGATTTAAACTTATTCAGACCTTCACAGTCTTGGCTGCCTAAAATGTGATGATTTAAAATTCACAACCCTTTCCATTAACTGAGACAATGAGTCCACTGTTTATGCCACTGTATTAACCTGTTCTGCATTAGAGAAGAAAAGGTTACGTTTCACTTTGTAGCAGCATGTTGGGGTTGTATGTATTTCAGGTTCCTTGATTTATACTATCTCCAGTTTGGGTTTGTTGAAGGGAGGAAGCTATAAATACCCCAGTTTTTCCTGGGTTTTTGTTTTTGTTTTTCCCAGGTACCCAGCTGTGAATGAAATAATGCTCCCTATATGTGTTCATTGTTCCCATTGCTGGTGTCTGTGCAAATCACCAGAGTTTTCCTAATAAGGTTGGGTTTGACCTTTTTAGAAGTTCTCAGATGAAGAATCTAACTGCACTCATTAGCCTCAAAAGAGAGAGACTTCCCTGCCACTGCCCTTACAAACAGCTGTAAGAAACAGTAAAGCATGATTGTTCCAAAACCAAAGCCAGGCCTCAGAGCTGTTCAGGAGTGTGCAAGCATTAGGCAGCCAAGGTCTGGCTGCACCTTTCCAGAAGGGTGGTGCACCAGATGGAGAGAGATCCTGAAGAAGGGGAGCAGACAGACTGACAGATGAGCAGACTTCACAACAGAGGAGACTAGAGAGAAGCCCTTTTGCTGACAAGCTGGCTTAGGCAGGAGAACACTGTCCCACTGTCCAGTGCTTTTAGTGCCTCCATGTTCCAGACAAGGGCATCATGTTGTATGTGCTGACTGCTGGGGCGGTGGCCCCTGGTTCATCTCGTTTCTGGTGATGGCACTGAAAGTGGTGTGACAGCACAGGGAGCCATGTGATAGAACTGACCCATCTGAAAACTAATCTTGCTTGCTGGTTTGCTGTTATGGTTTTGGCTGGCACGATTAGTACTTGGAAAGATTAGTTCTTTCTTCTGGCTCTCCTCAGCCCCAGGAGTGTGTGCAGGCACATGCTGGAGACACTCTCTGTAAGGACAGTGGAGGAAGGTGGTGTCTCTTCTGTCAGAAGATTGTGAGTCGTCGAGGCTGAAACTATAGCTCGTGTCAACAAAATATTGCCTGGGTTCATCAAAATAAATGAAGCAAAGCTCCTTTTTCTATCAGTGAAACTTTCTCCTGACTAGAGTCACCTATGAGATCTGGAATCTTAATAGTTACTCAGGCCAGAAGAGGAGAAAGTAGACCCGAACCAATCGGTTCTTATGAAAGGTAGGAGATGACTGAGGAATTTAGATTAATATAGTAGATACTGACAGCTACCTTTTAGTTACCTAAAGATAAAATGGAATAGTTTTGTTAATTTATATATGATTTCAATATTACCTCATTTTAGTAAAGAGCAAATAAATGAATGAACAATTATGAAAGCCAAGGCAAGTATCTCCAAATTTCTATTCAGATATTACAAATATTCTTGGAAAATGTCTCAACAAGTTATAAAACTTAATAACAGACATCTAGATATTTGAACTGTCCATTAGAATCTGGGGCTGGAGATGTAAATGTTTTGTTAGTCAAACAGTAGGACTATACTGAACTTGAAGATCTACAGTGCTGTTAAATTTGATAGAGTTTCCCCACAGGGAATGCAAAAGGAAAGCACTTGCATTTGATTTTGATAGTTAAATAAAATATAGCTTATCCTTTCTGTACAGTTTTATTACAATGGCAGAAATTGCATTTTTATTTTTTTCTCATGTAGGAAAAGATCTGCCATAAGTTATCTTAGCTGTACTAAGGCTTTGAAAAAACAGGCACACACTTATAGCTACTTTAATAATGAACAAAACACAAGGAAGTCAGGATCTTTAAAAATTATGCTCTGTAAAGTTTCGATTCTTTTAACTATGGTAGTTTGCTAACTTGTAAGCAAGGTAATTATACATGGATAAACTTGGTTCTGGAGAGTGATTCAGCAAAGTAAACAGGAATTTATTTTATTTAGTTTAGTTTTGCAAACAAATTCTAAATTCAGTATGAACAGAACTTGTAAAAGTGTGATTCCTAGCAGTTTTAAATATTAATGTGTTTTCCCCTTTTTGCAGGATTTGCCTGTAATAAATTTGCTGAGCAAGACATACAGACTTCTACCCAATGCTATGAAAATTAACCAAGGCACATTAATTTCAGGAAATCATCAAAGGTACAAAAATATAATGCTTATTCAGTAATTAATTAAACCAAAGAAGCCATCAGCATGTGCTACATAGCCTAAGTCTTATGTCAGGTCAATAATTAAGCTGTAGTAAATCTTCTGGAGGTTCTATCCTGCCAAACTTTAAAGGCTCAAGACTAACTCAAGGACCCTTAACATTTTAGTAAGCCAGTAAATGATTACACAGATAGCTTTTCAATCTGAAGTTTGCTACTATTAACTTTCTATTTTTTAGGACATCCAGGAATGGTATGTTTTGTGGTTATTGAATAATATCCTGCGAACAAAATGTATGCCTTTCGTGAGTTTACGAAAAGGAATATTTTATAGACTTCAGTTATGTCAAGATAAAAGTGCACTTTTCCTGCAGGGAAAGATATACATTAAGTGAAAAGTAATGGTTTGGAATTTTCCCTTGTTTATGTGAACATGATGATTATGAAAACGTGAACCTAACCTCACTGTATGCAGCTGGTCATGGTAAAGAGAGAGCATTATGCAAGCTGTCGTGTTGGACTCTGCCAAAGCAATTCCAAAATATATGCAGTAGTTACGTGCTTTCAAGGTCTGGCTGACTTCTAGGTGGAATTAGGAGGTCATAGCAAGTTGTGTGGTGACCTCGTGATGTGGGAATTATGGCACTAGACTGAGTATCAAATCATACGTCTCAGCTTAACAAATAAAAATATGAAGCCACATGACAGAACACAGAGCAGGAAGTTTGAAATGCTCTGAGATTCATTTTTTCCCTTAACTGTATTATTTTCTGTCACCTCATTTACATAAAGTATTTCTGGTTAAACAATTTGCAAATACATGTGATTTAGTAGCAGGTATATGTGTGGCAGAGGTAAATTTGGGTTTAAAATTAGGATATTAGTAGCAGTGAAAGACAGCTGGTATACATCAAGTTTATTTCATGTGCAAGTTTTTGTATGGACTTTTGTTGGAACCACTTACTCTTTGACATGTTAGCTCATAGTTTATTTTAATTACAGAATATTTAAGTTTCCAGATCTTTAGATAATGTTTCATAATGATTGGAATTAATGTGAGATTATTCAAACTGCTTCATTTTCCCTCCAGATGTGTGGCAGTATGTTGGTCCCATATATAAAGCATGTATTATTTTCTTGCATACAGCATATCAGGATATCCAGGCTGTCCTATACCATCTATACCAATGATCTGGTTAATAATTTCATTTATATCTTAATGTTCTCTCCCAATTTCATCTAAATTTTTAGTAGGCTTATCTGTATTTTTCCTAGGTTTCTCTTAAAGAGGTTAACTAGACTAGGGGCAAGAAAATACATGCCTTAGATTTCCACAGAAGCAGAAGTTATGAAATAGTATCATTTCAATGAGTGATCTTACTTTCGATGAAGAGAATGCATTGGATTATTATTTGCCATACCTTCCGGTTCTACTCAGTGAAATTACAAGTGACCATTTCAGCCATGTTCCCGGTCTACCCAAGGCAGGAAACACAAATAATCTTATGAAGGATGTTATATTGGAAGATTTCCAAGTAATTTTTGCAGATCCAAAGATTAATTTTTGTTTCTTTTTAAAGCTTGGACATTCTTTATCTAACCTGAAACTCAATGTTTCACTCTTTATTGACTACCTCATCTGCTGTTCTAGAGAGATTTTGCAAGAATAGTTTATAAACATACTTTTTCTCGACAGATTTTGGGTCATAGTGTCTCATACAATGAACCTATAACTGTGAAGAATGCATAAATGTAATTCATATTTGTCAGTATTAGGAATTCTTTCAGGATATTTATTATGAAATAAAGTGTTATCACTTGCACCATGGATAAAATAGTTGAAAAGTTCCAAGAAAAATGAAAAGGTGGCTTTTTGACCTGAAGCTTAAAAATCATGTCTTTTATGTATATAATCTATTAATGACACACTCAGTGCAAAGACTTTCCTGGCACATTATCCGCTGACATTCCAAGAGCCAACTTCAGTTAATTAAGTTGAATACAACTTAACCCTTGGGGTTAGATTTTTTAGAAATGTAGTCTCATTACTGCACACACACATATCCCAGTCCCAGTTCCAAATAGATATATATGGTTCCCAGTTTATTTTGGGGAATTATAAGAGCTTGAAAAACCCATTTTAGGTCATCTGAAATGAGCATGATCTAGAAACAAGAACTGCAGAGGCTTGCATGTTACAGGACTTAAAAGAGTGAGTCCGCATGAGGTCAAGAGTACTGGAGTGATCAGTGATACCTATCTCCAAGCAAAAATCTGGGTGTATGGTAAGATGGGTCTCAAAGAATAATTTTCAAAAATCCCAGCAGGTTGGGAGAGGTTGGGAAACTTAGGAACAGAGACACAGAACTTGTAACATTTTCTTGCAGTTCACTGCATCACCCTTCATTTTAGTTTATGCACACTGAGGGCACAGTCACTTGCCTATCAGCAAAGATATTACGGAACGTCCTGCTAGAAGGTGTACAGCAAAACTACAGTCTTTTTGTAGGGTTTCTCTTTCTGTGCTGTGATGTTTTACTGTTATTAGTTGTCTACATGGGATGCAGCCAAGTTGTGTTGAATCTGCATCCAGGATCTTGTCAAGCATCTTCATCTCCTTATCTAGAGGGTTTTTTCTTCGTCTCCTGCTATAAGGTCACAAGGAAATACCTACCAAAAATAGGGAAGTCCCTTAGGAAAATCCTCTGATACAGAAGTACAGCTGTATGTTGCATGTACATACACGTTCAGACACGAACCCACAGAAAGATTACCTGCTAACAAGCATGCTAAGAAGTTCTTTGCTTCTGTGTCCCTCCCAAGTGATCTCTGCCATCAGTGACTTTAGTTTGCACTAGTATATCCCACTTTTGCAAACAAATTGATTCATTCTCAACTTCTTTTCCTCTCATGTTGTCAAATTTCTCAGTTTGGAAAAGAGGATTACGTAGAAGGGGATTATTAGCTGAAAGATAAGGGAGATTCCACCTAAAAGCATTAGAGTAAGCAAATTTTGACTGTAATAGTTATAGCTGATAAAATCAGACATTCCAAGAAGACACAACTTTGCCCCTTCGTTTCCTCTCTATTTTGCGACTTTTTTGCCCACATCACATTTCTGATCTTACCTGGTAAACAAGTGCTCTTTCCATTTGGTTTTCTTTTCCATCACATCTCACACATAAACCCTTTCTGTTTCTCTATATAGACTGTTGATTAAGATCTAGAGTGAGGTTTTTTTACAGACTGTCAATATAGTAGAAAGTTTGTGATCTTGTGAGTTTTCCCTTTACAAGCTGTGAAAACGAAGATTCTGGGATTTGCTTTTAGTGTATCTGTAACCTACCACGTCACTTAACTTGTTTGCCTTTGTGGCTGCTCATCCCTATTAAATTAGTTCACACCAGTAGAGCTCCAAAGAGAAAGGATGAGGTTTTTCTCCCTCGTTTCCTCCTGCTACTTAGTGGGAAAGGGTTCTCAGCTGCTGATTATGTTGCTTCATTGGTTTTCTTGCTGGCGTGTTTCTCTGCACCGCATGTCTTAATGAGGAACAGGCGGTCAGCAGTTTGGTGGGCAGTATGCTGAGAGGGTATGCTTGGGAAAAGAGAGACAGGCAAGAGCAAAACAGATCCAAATAGCTTCCTTTCTAACCTGCACCAAAATGAAGGCAGGAACTTTTGTATAAGTGCACTCTTAAGATTACAAGATCAGGCTGTCAAATTGCCCGTCTCTGGAAGTGTTTTTCCTAAAATTAAGTGGTGGGTTTTTTTCCTGTAAGAGCCAAGTCACTTCCTTCCTATCCATTATCAGTCATATTACTGTGCCTTACTGGAGAAATGAACAATGCAATGGCATCAAAATAAGACATGCACAGTCTGATAAAAATACTTCTAATATTTCATGTAAAAAGTGTTTTTAAGGTGGATTTTGTAAAAGAATTGTATGTGTCATTTTTTCCTCTATCCCTTCCAAATATTTCCATTCAGATGAACATTGAAGAAAAATTGAGATTTTTATTAGCCACAGACTTCTACTGCCAGTAACTTGAGTTTTTTGCAAAAAGACAAAATATCTTTATTAGAAAGTAGACCTATGACATCATTAAGATTGTAATTATCATATAATCATAGAGTCGTAGAATGGTTTGGGTTGGAAGATCATCTAGTTCCAACTAAATTTGAAGATCATCTAGTTCCAACTACCCACAATGGGCAGAGACACCTTCCACTACACAAAGTTGCTTAGTGCCCCAGGCAACCTGGCCTTGAACACTTCTAGGGATGGGGCATCCAGAGCTTCTCTGGGAGATCTGTTCCAGTGCCTCACCACACTCATAGAGAAGAATTTCTTCCTAATGTCTAATTTAAATCCATCCTTTTTTAATATGAAGCCATTCCTCTTTGTCCTATCACTTTGTAAAATGTCCCCCTCCAGCTTTTTGTAGGGCCCCTTTAGGGACTTCTCTAAGGTCTTTTTGGAAATTTTTCTTCTCCAGGCTCAACAACCCCAACTCTTTCAGCCTGTATTCATAGAAGAGGTGCTCCAGCCCTCTGAGTATCATAACGGCCCTCCTCTGGATATGCTCCAACAGTTTCCCATCCTTCTCATGCTGAGGGCCCCAGAGCAGGATGCAGCATTCCAGATGGAGTCGGGCAGAATCACCTCACTCAACCTGCTGGCCCCATTTCTTCTGATACAGCCCAGTACACAGTTGGCTTTCTAGGCTGCAAGTGCACATTGCCAGGTCATGTTGAGCTTCTTGTCAACCAGTACCCCCAAGTCCTTTTCCTCAGGGTTGCTCTTAATTAATTTCTGCCCAACTCATATTTGTGCTTGAACAACATGCAGGGCCTTGCACTTGGCCTTATTGAGCTTCACGACGTTCACACAGGAACTGTATCACATGATATACTCAGAGAATGGAAAAAATGAATACTAGAAAGGAAACTCTTTTCCGACTTTATGTATTAAGACCAGAACAACGAAAGAAAA